TCACAACCATCTGTAATGGGGTCTGGTGCCCTCTTCTGCCCTGCAGGCATACGCACAGACAGAATATTGTATACATAATAAATAAATACTTAAAAAAAGAAAACAGGATAAGGAAAAAAGCCCATTCCAGACAGTTCTACCAGGAAATAGAAGAGAGAGGTTTTTGGGTTTTTCGAGACGGCTTCTCTGTAGCTTTGGGGCCTGTCCTGGAACTACCTCTTGTAGACCAGGCTGGCCTCGAACTCACAGAGATCCTCTTGCCTCTGCCTCCAAGTGCTGGGATTAAAGGTGTGCGATTTACCAGATTAAACCACCACCTGGCTGCTTCCTTAGTCTCGATGATGATCCTTTCAGGCACTGTGGCTGGCTTTAGTGTGTGCAGTCTTGGGTGTGCAGGGAAGGTCCTGCCTTCTATGTGTTGCTTCTTGGTCAGTGACAGTCTTACTGGGCAGTTCTATGTTAAGTCTTCTTCCATGCCTTTGGGGTCTTGTGTTGGGTTAATGACCTTGAGGCAGGAGACTGTGAGGAAATCAGGAAGGAGGAATGATATGTTAGGAAAGTCACTGTGGAAGACAGAACTAAAGAAAGCTACTTCTGCAGTGTGAATCCTAATAGAGAAGCTAAATAAACGTGGGCTTGGCAGGAGTTTAGGGAACTTCAGTCTGGACTTAGTGTGAGAGAACCAAGTAGGGACATGCTGGGGCAGATGGAACCTGAGTGGTGGGAAGGACCACAATCCAAAGGTTTTCTGGACACTTGGGCCACCATTATTATTTATTTATGTGATGTTGGGGATTGAACCAAAGCCTAATGTTCTAAACCTGATGCTTGTGTTGGGCTTAATTATTTCATTAATATCTGAGGCAGAGTTTTCATGCAGCTCTACTTGACTTTGAGCTAGAGATGTAATGACATTGAACTCCTGATTCTCCTGCTTCCACCTGCCAAAGTCACTACCCGTCCTATTTATGCAGTGCTGGGGGTTGAGCCCAGAGCCTTCTGCATAAAAGGCAAGTTCTGTAGGTCCCTAGTCCTGGGCCTCTTCTGTGTCCACTGACAGATAGTTTTGCACTGATAGATAAGAGCTTCTGTTTTAGAATTAGCAGTGCTTCTCCAGTGGTCAGGTCCTAGGCAAGTTAATCAACCTCTCTAAGCCCAGTGTCTCCATGTGTGAAGATTGTGGCTTTGGGTTTAGTCCCACCTCATTGTATTGTCAGGTTCCTTGAGGGCATAGGAGATGCTTGCCTTCCTCTGCTTTCTGAGTACTGGGATTAAAGGTGTGCACCACCATGCCTGGCTCTGTGTGATGCTTTCTATTAAGAATCTGTGGTTGCTGGTCAGCTGGGCCCAAACAGCCACAGTTAAATAAGAGATCAATGCCATTGATGTGAAATTTATGCTTCATTGGGACAAAGTGCTCAGGTAAAGTACATGGAGTTGTCATCCAGAGGGGTCCAAGACTACTCAAGCTAGCAGCTGAACTTGGCAATGTCTGAGAGTCTTCTGTGAGGTCTTGTTTTTTTTTTTTAGGCATAAAAAGCTATAGGATTGAGCCAGGCAGTGGTAGCACACTAGTCCCAGAACTGGGGAGGCAGAGGCAGGTGGATCTCTGTGAGTTCGAGGCTAGCCTGTTCTAGGACAGCCAGAGCTATACACTAAAATCTTGTCTCAAAAACCAAAAAAGACTTGAACTTTTAAAGAGACTTAGAATTTTAAAAGTATTGAAGATTTTAAAGACTGAGAATTGTGAAAGTTGTCTGATGGTTGTATTGTAATATTAACATGAGACTTTGGGGCCACATCGAAAGGTCATGGTTTAATGTGTGTTCGCATATCAAGTAGAAAAGGGGTAAAGGTTCATGGTCACCTGTAACTGTTAACTGCCATGGCCTAGAGCCATCTGAAAGGAGCAACTTGATTGAAGAATTGCCTAGACTGGATTGGCCCGTGGGTGTGTTTGTGGGGGACTGTCCTGTACCTTGATAGAGGAGGGCCCAGCCCCCTAAGCAGCACCGTTCCCTGTCAGGTTGTCCTGTGTGTATAGGAAAGCCAGCTTGGCTTGAGCCACGATTGAGCCAAGCAAGCAGCATTCCTCGGTAATTTCTGCTTCAGGCTCCTACTTGAGTTCATGCCCCAACTTCCTTCAATGGTGTACTGACCTGGAAATAGGAGGCAAATAAACTTCCTCCCCGAGCTGCTTTTGGTTAGAGTGTTTGTAACAGCGCGAGAATGAAACTCAGCCACAGCTACACAATAATTGGCTGTAATGATGTGAAGGATTGTTGTAATTCACAGTCTCTTTACCCAAAATTTCCCACAATGTAAAGAGTCAATAAATTGATGCTGTTGAAATGAATGGTTCGAGTCACTGTGTCCTTGTGAAGCTTCGCTCTGCCGTTTCTGAGGAAAGGGACTTCCCCTTTATGTCCATGCTACTTTCTGCTCAGATCCTAACTTCCCTGGACAAGAAATGGGTTTCTCAGAAGCCAGTGCCACAATCTCCTTTGGGTGAATTTGTTGGTGGTGATGGCCATCCTGTGATGTCACTTGACCAATTTATTTCCCACTTCCTTAGCGCTCATTCATGTTTAAAAGCAACTTTCTTCCACAATGGCTGGTCTTGGCGTGCTTCTGTTGTGGCCATGGTTTGCAGCTGACATTCATGTAGATAGTCTTGTGAGATGCGTGACAGCAGTGCTGCTGGGACAGCTCAGTTGGCCCAGGCGTGACTGAGGCAGGAGACCAGCAGGACCCTCAGACCAGCTTTAGATTGTTGGCTTTGCGTCTGGCTTTGGACAGGTCAGTTTAGACAGCCAGATGAGCCCCATGCCAGAGAAAAGCACTGTGGGACAAAGCACAGGGTTTATCAAGGTGGAGCAGAACTTGGGAAGAGGATGCGTTAAAAAAAAAAAAAAACCCAATGCTTTCTCAAGGAAGCTTCTTTTGCACTGATAGCACTGATTGCAGACTTAGACTTGAGAAGAGGCACAGAGGGCTTCGTTGACAACCTTCTCCCCCCACCCTCCCATCTCACTCCCACCCCTGAAAAAGAAGAAGCCTAGGCAGGAAGCCATAGAGAACGCTTCAAAGTTGTGAGAGGGTGCTGAAGTGTTGCTCCCACAGCTGCTGGCTTCTGGCAGGGGTGGGGGTGGGGAAGGACTCGGATCTCTCTAAGGGACTGTCCACCGGGAGTTTGATCATGCCCAGTGAGTATAAGGGAAATGCAAATTAGACTTGGTATTTTTTTCTTCTTCTTCTTCTTTTTTTTTTTTTTTTTGAGGGGGGTCATAAGGATGAAGGAGCAGACCTGGGAGGACTGGGAAGTGAGGAAGTGAGTGTGATGGGGTACATTATGTTAAATTCACAAATATTCAATAAAAATATTACGTTGGAAAGATTTCTTCAAAAGTTCATACACATGGGGCCACATATATAAAATGCTTGTTGGCATATGCACAACAGTATCCTCTTGACCCCTCCCCTTCCATCAAAATCCTCTCCAGCAAGTCCCCTCGCTCTCCTTTTGTTCTCTGTGGCCCAGGTCTGTGGCCCAGGGGCTTTAATTAAGGTGCATGCCAGAGAGAGAGAGAGAGAGAGAGAGAGAGAGAGAGAGAGAGAGAGAGAGA